TTTTTCCTAAGACTGTCTATACCTATTTTCTTTCTCAAACACCCTGGAATATTTTTCAGCACACTGTAATCTGTGTAAACAGTTTGTTTGTGTTTTGTTTTGCGTCTGGACCTGCTTTACTGTGCACCTATAGCATTCTCTGCCTGATAAACCAAACCTTAAACTCACTACACTGCTTTGAGCTGATAGCTGGCTTTACCCTGGGTTGGTCTGTGAGAGCCAAGCTTCATACCTGGGGTCCTGACCACGAGCTGCATATAACTGGGAGCTCCATTTAACCAGGAACTGCATTTAATGACCCAGCTCTAGGAAACTGGTGCCTTCACTGTGGCAGGCAGTTTTCCTTAGCTTGTTGTTTCTACTCAATCTGTTAGCTGCTCAAGTTCTCACCATACATCAGAACCATGCCTCTGTACAGTATGAGTACCAGTTTACTAGGAAGCTGTATCCTGCTTGTTCTATTGTTCTTTTCTCTTTCTCTTTCTAGCTTTCTCAGACCCTATGTAGAAATACATGCCCCATGTTGGGCACCAGAAAGATCCAACAAACTCTTAAAAATATCACTCACAATAAAGGGCAGTTGTGAAAGGGTAAATGTAAACAATGTCATTATGTATCCAGGAGATACTACAAATTAGGATGGTAAGAGATGGTAGGATACTAAGAGTATTTGACATTTGTTAATGGAGTTTTCAAACTTAGCACTTTTGTTACCCTTTCTTACTAATTAAAAGATATGTGTGAGCTCTCTAAAGTCAGTGCCACTATATTCATTTTCCCACTGGACCTCTTGGAGTCTCCATGCCTGAGAAAGGGAAGGAAGCTAATTGGGAAACCCATAAGAATTATATAGAGACAGTTACAGGGACATGTGACTCTATCTGTGAAAACTCAAAATGAAACAACACAGAGATGGGTTTAAAAGAAAGAATAAATGTGTCATTTTGCATGTCTGTGACTCAGACACCTGATATAAACAACTTATTAGTGGAAAGGTTTATTTTGGTTCATGGTTTTATAGAAATCAGTCCACAGTTGCTTAGCCTTATGCCCTTGGGCAAAACATCATGATGACAAGAACCTGTGGTAGAGGAGTTTCTTCAGCTCCTGAGGGACAGAAGCAGAGAGAACTCAAGGAAGAGGCTAGAATAAGGTAGCCCCAGGGGGGACCTCAGTGACCTACTTTCTTCACCTAGACCTCACCTTCTAAAGTTTCTAGAACCAAAATGGCTCTACCAACTGGGTACCTGGACTTCCACACAATTCCATAGAGAACATTTCATATTTAAAAACAAAGATTAAAGATCTTTGTCTCTGCTGCTTCCACTTTAAGTTCACTGGGCAGAAGCTGTCCTTCAAAAACCCTATTCACTGGCAGTGCTGAATATCTTGACAATAAATTCACATATTCAGATTGTCATGTGTGTGGCTTTCATCTGTCATTTCAATAGTAAAAATAGTAAATGAATCTTGATATCTAAATAAAGCCATGACTCTAACTAAAATGGGTTTTAAAATCATATCTAAAAGCCATACTTCACCAACTTTCTTCATACAAAATATATGTCAGGCACTCATCAAAAATTGACTTTCATATTGAATAGATGCTATATATTCTGTCAAAACGCACATCTATTCTGACACTAGGTTTCCTTCTCATTTTATGTTACAGTTTTTAAAAAGATGTGGACCCAAACTACAAACACATAATTAACATTTTGTGATGATTAAATCCTAATCCTCAGGCTTCCATTGTGCCAGTGGAAAGATAGTCCACCCTGCAGGATTTTGTTCATTCCCTTAAATTTAAAATCCACACATATACTGATGTTCTTTGTTCTCTTCCCTAAGTCCCAAACTTACCCTTCCCCACTTTATATTTCCCCTAGAGGTCCAAGAGGCATCTTAAACACCATAAATCTCAAGGTTGCATCTATAATTATAACCCCAAACCACTCTTTCTTCAAGAATTTCTCATCTCCTTAATTTCAATCACCCATTTTTTTCAGATTCACCAACAGACAGTTGCATTTACTCTCAACCATACGAACTGTCATAATTGAATTCTGTTGATTCCATGTCTATAGTGTTTCTGTGGTATGCCCTTGGGCAAAAGCAATTTACCTCAAAATGTTATTTCTCCTTTGAAAAATACCCTGAAGATCAACATTTAGCCTCACCAGAGTATGCTTGGTTGGCAGTCAGGCTCACTGAGCTACAGGCAATCAGAAAACATTCACACTCTGCTGTCCCCACTACGCCATAAAGCCTTAACAAATTCTCCCCAGTCCCGTCTGATCAGCCACAGTGGTGGAGTCTGGTTTCTTCCTCTAGCAGAGTACATGTGCAGGCCCCACATATGTCCAAATTAAAATAATCAGGGAATGGCTTCCTGGGTCAGCTCTCAGAGTCAACCTAATTAGCTAAGTTCTGAAGATGGGAGATTTGGATTAAAAGGGGGCTAATTGGGCAAATGAACTTTAGATGTAATCTCAATATACCACTCTGATTTCTCAACTTCTGATTCTGGTGCTTCTGTCCCCCATAAACTCTGTGGTGCTAATTGCTGTGGGATGAGCTGAGCTGAATTCAGCATGCTGATTAGAAAATGTGCTGACCCACAAGCATTTCCAGAGTGAGCTAAAAGCATCGGAGTGCGCTCTTTAAGTCAGCTTCACTAATAAAGTTGGAGTTTTTCCCCAAATTTTGACTTAACATTTAAAACATGTCAAAGGACATGTGTATATGTTAACTACTAAGAATTATAGGCTAGAAATAGTTGAAAGTAGTGACATATATTTCATCTATATATAAGAATATTTGTTTTTGAATATGTTGCTCTTTCTGGTACTTTTACTGAAATATCTCTCCTGTGAGTAAATTGTATTGGGAAATATCAAGAATATCAGGTAGGAGTGGCATGCTACTCTTTTAAAGATATATTTATGTTTAACATTTGAGAATCTCATCCATGTTCATGATGTGTTTTGATCAGACTCATGCTCCACACACTCTCAAACTCCACTCATGCCATCACCACTTTCCCTACTTATCACAAGTATTTTTTAATGTGGAGTCTAATTAGTGCTGCCAGTATATGCATCGGTTATAATTTTTGGATGTTGTATATGGAGTGAGACTTGAGCAAAAGTTGTTTGTCTTGGGAAAAGTCCAGTCCAACCTTGAACATGCAATTCTCCTGAATCGGCCTCCTAGTTCTAGGATTATAGACATATCCTTCTGTACCTAGCTCCTAGATGGCAAATGTCTTCACAAGTTCTCTAAACTCTCCATGAAGAAATGAGCTATACAATTAGTGAACAATGATACGCTGTTAAAATTCAGTTTAATGAAAAATACTGGATCATGTGAACATAATTCTAAAGCATCCTTACAATCCCACAACTGTTCCCATTCTTATGCTCCAATTGTAGCACTTTTAGGTGGTGCTAGGGATTAATCCCAGGGCTGTGAACAAGCTAGACAAATGCTCCACCATTGAGCTATGTTCCCAGCCTTAATCGAAGTAAAAATTTGTCATGAAACAAAATGTAATCTGTCCAAATAGTTTTTAAATATGTCTATAAGTTACATGGTATTCCTCCCTCCAGAATATGGAGCTTAAATCTTCTTTAAGTATGAGCTAGGCTTAGTAAATCACATCTAATGAATAAAATACTGCAAAATTACCATGTATAACTAGATTTCTACAAGCAGCTTCTGCCTTATTCTCTTGATCTGTGGGATGTCACTGGCCACGTCATGAGAACACTCAAGCTGCCCTCCAAAGAGGTCAACATAGTAAAGAGCTGAGGCCAAATCTACCATCCAACAAGGACTGAGGCACCATGCAGGAGCCATATAGTGTACTTAGAAGCTGATCCCTCAGCTGCAGAAATACCTCCAGAAGACTGCAGTCCAAACCGATCCTGACCCTGCAACTTCAAATGAATCCCAAGCCAAGACCATCTAGCTTAATCAGCTCCCAAAGTCCAGACCTATGGAAACTGGGAAATAGAAGGTTGTTGTTTTAGACTATGACAATGTGAAGTATGTCTTCAGAGGAATTATTAATGCGATAGCCTAACTAAATGCACACTTTCTTATGTAGTTTACCACCACCCTCCAAGAATTACTTAATGATTTTGAAGGAAAATGTTGTTCTTTAGGCTTTATGTAAGGGGGGAAAAATGCCTTCAAGTCTGGCTCAGGGATCACATTCTCAAACACAAATTAGGATTTCACTCAAGAAAGAAGGTATGTTTTATAAACTCTTTGAGCAAGCTGTAATACTGCTTTGGAATATGAACACTGGTTCTGAGACTCAACAGCTCTCCTTCCCTAAATTATCCCTTTCCCTTTATCACTATCCAGTTCACCCTTGGCTCCTCCAAAGAGAAATGCAAAGAGAACATAGCGCTCTGTCCTGTCCCTTCCCTCAGAGCTATTATTAGAAAAGTTTATCCAGCAGATTTTTCACCCTGATCAATGATTTCAGATATTATGAGGTCTGCCCTACAAAGCCAAGTTGTTCTGGGATATGTATGAGAGTCATCAAGGGAAGAGCTATGGTTTTGTTTCCCCACACCAGCTGAGGCATGCTAGCTTGAGTTGTCTTCTTACCTCCTCTCAAGGAAGGAAGCTGTGTTAACTCTACAGGCACTTAGTAAGACATGAGGTACTTTCGTCCCCAGGTCACTTGTAAATGAGCTTTAACAGCAGATTGAGTGGTATGTACACCCTCTGAGGGCCTCAACATGGTGGGGTCATCTCAGAGGTAAAAATCCTGAGGTGAAGAAAAAGGTTGTGTTCCATAACGGTCAGTTGTGCAATGATCCGGCCTCATTTATGGGAGGTCACCTTTCTTACATCAGTATTTCCTCATAGTATGAATAGGTGGCTAAGCGAATGAAATGTTGCTCTCCCTGCTCAGCAGCTACAAATAACTTTGAGGGTTGTCCTTTCCAGTGCGAGGGACACCAGGCCTCTCTCTTCCTCAGGTGAAAGTGTGGAGGAAAATGCCAGTGTTGTGGTCAAGCTGCTCATCAGACGTCCTGAGTGCTTTGGGCCAGCGCTGAGGGGTGAAGGAGGAAATGGACTGCTAGCCGCCATGCAGGGCGCCATTAAGATCTCAGAGAACCCTGCACTCGACCTCCCCTCCCAAGGTTACAAGACGGAAGTGTAAGTGAATGACTCCAGTGTGTGAGCACTTGGTAGGCTGCCAAATACTGTCAGTCGGTGAATCGCTAGGGTGGCCTCAGGAAGTTTTCCTGGTAGAAAGAGCACAGATGTTTCATGGTGGTTAAAACATTTCAAATCACTTTGTCAGGCCCAGTTATTGTTATGACTTGCCCAGAGCGCCTAGGGATCAGTACCAGCTTCTTCCATTTCTTTATAACATTTGGCACAGCTGGCAAACCACTGGGGCAGCAAAGCCTTCTAGTTTCTGCAGCACCTGCCTACAGTGTCACCTCAGGAGGATTTCTCAGGAAAGAGTGTTTAGTGTTTGGATCCTTGCAGATGACTGTGGGGTTTAAAGGTTCAGAGTTTAGTTGGTACAGTGTCTGTCTTGCCACTTTCCCTCTATCGTGTCCAGTAGTCATTTGCATTTCTATATATAGTTTATACTGCACAATCTGTAGAATGTGTGTAACCCACCAGAGTTGACTCTCCAAACGATTGGCTTTTTTCTGATAGATCATTTAGTAGACCAGAGATAACTCAAAATATATTTGTCTCAACCTTCTTGTATAAAGCCAAGACCCTAAGTAGTATAGTTTGATAACCTCATAGCCAGAATGTGAACATAGCCCTCCTGACTCCTTGTCCAACTGACTTTCCATGGACATTCAGAGAGGAAGAAGGAATGAATGAATGGTGGCTAGTACCGAAACTCATGTTTCAAGGTTCATGGGATCCTAAAGCTATCATGGAAAATATTTGGGTCCTTTGAGCATAATGTCTAAAACCACCCCATCAGCTTCTGAAGTGGGAAACTGTGAGGAAAGTCTGTTCAACCCGAATAGAGTGATTTTAATAAGTGGTGCCTGCCTAACAGCATGGCAGTCTCTCACTCACCTCCCCCTTGTTGATTCTATCTCTGCAGCTCAGAGGACGATGAGGAGGAGGAAGAGACTGTGCACATGGGCAATGCAATTATGTCATTTTACTCAGCTCTCATCGATCTACTGGGCCGCTGTGCTCCTGAGATGCACGTAAGTGATGGTTTGCTGACAGCTGCTTGGAAGAGTCTGGGTCAAGAACAGCAGAGAACCCCAGATGGAGTTCCTTCATCTGTGCATGGCATTTACTAGCAAGCTTCTCTTTGGGTTCCTTTTAGCCTTCCAAAATGAGACTTCCATGACCCTGAGCTGGGTCAAAACGTGGCTAACCTGATTTTTTGGCCAGTCCATTGTGAACAGCCTCATGAGTGCCATCAGGGACACTCTGTGTGGGAAATACTGTCTTGCTGACCATGGCTTTGGGCTCTAGGAAACAGTCAGTTTTGCAGGCATACACACAAAAATGGTTCTGTCTGATAAATGTCTTCTCAGACCGCCAGTTTTGGTCTAAAAAGTATTCATTCCCTTCTGGTTTTTACCCCTGCTGATGGGATAGTTGGTGTTATTTCACACAAAGCCTCACTCTGAAATTAAAAGGAAATACTCTTCTTAAAAAGGAAAGTCTAAATATTGGTGTTGGAGGCTGATGAGAATCTCAAGAATTCCAGTTCCTTCTGTGACATACTAGCCCTACCTCATCAGCCTGCCTTTACACTCCAGCTCCTTCAAGCAAAGAGAGGGACTCAGAAGGAAGCCAGGGATACAGCAGGATGTCTATAACTTGGAGAAGAGTCAGACTCTTTTTGTTCATACTCTAGTTCTCTTGATCACTTTGTATTACTTCTGGAAGCAAGTTACTAGTTGGCATGCTCACAAAAAGACAGCATGTGAGAGCTTATTCACCAGAGCCTGCCTGAGAAAGAAATAAATACCTCCCCTTCTGCCTACCATCTCCCTCCCTATTCACACACACACACACACACACACATATACACGTGCGCGTGCACATACTCATACACACACATACACACATGCCTACACACCTTCTCAGAACCCCTCCCTGGCTCCTTATCCTTCTACAGAGAGATAGGGGTAAGTTGCATAATTACTGACACCCCACCGGAAAGAGAGGTGGCCGGAGAGTAGATGAATAGGATCCTGCTTTCTCTGGGGTCACTGAGCCCCATGTCTCAGAATGAATGAAGGCATCAGTCCACCTGGGGTAGATCTGACCCTGTGCTCCTGGACAGTTACTTCTCAGCAAAAGGTCCACTGCCCCCCTTCAAAGACCTTTGCTGCAGAAAGATGGACATGCATACTCATGTATATACTGAGTGACCAATTGTTATGTTTATGAATAAACCTAGTCTCCTTGGGATGACTCCAACGAAACACTCAAATTATCTTTGACAATGTCTAGATTCTTCCTGTCCACCCCAACATTCTTCAAGCTCAGAAGAAATTGAAATTTGTAGGTCATTTTCTCATTGGCTACCATTCTGGAATCTGGTATTGTGAACACATTGTCAGCACTTCTGACATTGCTGTGAGGGCTCCCTGCTGAGAGTTGATACCTTAACTGCTGTGGGTTTCAGCCTCAGTAAAGAAGGAATGTGACATTGAATGAGCCTTCAAAGGACTTCCCCCCTCAGTCTCCCTTCAAGAGGAAGTTTCTCTTTTCCTGTAGCCACATATATCAATAGCAATAGGGGAACTCTAAAACAGCCCCCTGCCGGTAGGACCATTGTCCTGCCATAAATTAGGAGGCATGGGGACTTCATCTCTCTAATCTCTTTCCTGTGTGACAGCTCATTCAAACAGGAAAAGGGGAAGCCATCCGGATTCGGTCCATCCTGCGCTCTCTGGTCCCCACAGAAGACCTGGTTGGGATCATCAGCATTCCCCTGAAACTGCCCTCCCTGAACAAAGGTAGGGAAGCAACCTTGGGCTAAGCCTGCCCTCTAGTGCTGGCCTGCTCAGCAGCCGGACTCTGCCAGATGACAAAGCAGGCTGCCGGGGAAATGCCTTGCTCTTTTTCCAATGATGAATTTTCTGTGTCAGGATGGCCGAATCTGTGGCCCTCAGATACACACTGACCTCACCATTCTGGGACCAGGGGACCACTTTTAACCTTCTGAAGGGTGATAAAATGAGCAGGAGACAGCCCTTACCATGGCCTGACTTCTCCCTTGCCAGTGCGCCCTAGGAGAGTGAGGCAGTCGGTAGACACACAGGCTGTCTTCTGCCATGGACCTGAAAGACCTCAGAGCCCAGGATAAGTTATCCCCCATGCTGCTTGTGGCATTTGACACCTGCATCCTGATTCTGAGTCACCCTCCCTGGTCTTCAGGAACATGATGGAATTTAAAAGATGGCATGAGTCTGGCTGCTGCAGAACTTCCCAACTTGCCTCTCCATGGAACACCTTCAAAGGATATTCTAATATGCTTATGTAGTAGGGGCTCACAGACAAATTAATATGGAAATTGTTGGAGAATATGCATTGTATAAAATGTTCAAGAACATGTGCCACTTTTATGCCTTCATAAAGCACAGTCGAATAATAGTGTGTCTGAGGAAACAGGATAAAGAAAATAGATGCTAAACTCCCTGTTTCTCAATGATGTGGTACTTCTTTTAGCACAAACACTTGCTGAATCCCACAGAAATAGTAGTCATCAAGGTACCATGACTGCGTGTGAACCAAGTCAGCCTCAGACAACCAGCTCCCAGCCTTCCTTTTGCCTAGGGATGAGAGGCTGTCATGGTGCCCTTCCCCCTTACCAGCGCACACTGACTTCTGGGCAGAAGGAGCCCTGATGGGCAGCACTTCAGCTCTGTGCCTCTTGGGACGCCTCAGGAAGTCTACTCCAGCTCAGTACTCACATAGGCTGTCACTCTTCTTGGTCATTTGGGGGTCTCTTTTCTACTTTTTTGGTGCAACACCAGAGAGAAAAGGCCACTTTTCATCCTCCCTAAATATTCCTTTTATTCTCCATGTCAAGAAGTTTTATTTTCCCTATGGATTCCCCACTTCATCCTTCAGCCAGTTTGTTTTTTGGTTTTTGTTTGTTTGTTTGTTTGTTTGTTTTCATTCAAATAAGACTGCAATGACAGAGTAATTTGGTCTGTCACCTAGTGCAAACACTGAAGGAGTACTTGCTATGTGGTGTGACATATTATGAAATTTAATCTACTTTCTTAGCGTTTTACCCTTCACATCATCCACCAAAAGAGCAATATCTCAAGCCTTAATTTCCTAGAAATTTCCCAATATTCCCACAGTAGGTGACGTCATGCTATCAATGTGGTATCTCAGAACATGGGGTTGGAAAGAGAAGGCATAAAGCACACCACCATGTTGTATTTCAATATATAAATTATGGCTGATATAAGTGAGTATACTTTATAGTAGAGTTAGAAATTAATAAACTGTGGGTTACCTTTAAAAATATAATCTACTTCACTGTAAATTTAAACTTTCACTAAAAATGTGTTTAATAATAAGCTCATAGAAATTTGACAGTTGCTTCTCCCACCCTAGTTTAGGCTTCTTCCAACTTAGTTCTTATTTCTAAACTTCCTGTTGCCTATCACAACACGCTATAGACAGACAAGGTCTATGCTGTGTTTTCAAACTGCATAAACAGGAAACAGGAAATGATATGTTCTGTCTTTCAGATGGATCAGTCAGTGAGCCAGACATGGCAGCCAACTTCTGTCCTGACCACAAGGCACCCATGGTGCTCTTCTTGGACCGTGTTTATGGAATTAAAGACCAAACCTTCCTGCTCCACTTGCTGGAAGTTGGGTTTTTACCTGACTTGCGAGCATCTGCATCTCTAGATACAGTAAGTAGCTAAAATAAAGGATATAGAAGATAATTCCCCTCATGGCTAAGTTAGTGACATTGGACTTATGAACACATATTTTCTGCCTACTTGATGGCCGTATTTTAATGGTTAGCTTAAGAAAGAGAAAAGCAAAGGTATCAAAAACTAGAAGATCTTAATTTATTGGTCCAAAAACTTACATGTAGGCAAATTTTCCCTTAATTATCTGTTCCAGTCCCTTCCATTGATGTTTCTCAAACCTTGGTGCACTATTTCTTGAGGAACTGGGGAGAAGGAACCAGACTAAGATATTCATCATAGAATGTTTTCATAGCATATCTGGCTACCAATCAGATACCAGGAGCAATTTTTCTATTCTCCAGCTCCTGATTACAACTAGTTATAGACATCACCAAAGGTCCCCCAGGAGACAAAAGAAAAAATGCCACTCCTGTGAGAGTATGGCTCTGTTGCTTACAGAAAAGGCTGGCTAGAAGCATTTCAGGCTAGAGATACTCTTCCCCTTCTCAATTACTTTGCCTCATGCTCTGACCATCAGGAAGGACAGTCTGTCTATAGCCAGGGGTGGGACAGGAGTCAGTGTAAGAGGCCAAGGGCAAAGGCACAGTTGGAAATCAAAGCTGGGGTAAAGCAGTCCAGCATCCACAGGCATCAAGACAAGAAGTGACTGACCATAAAAGTTGCCAGCTGTCATATCTGTATCTTGAGGTGGAGGGAGGAGAAGGATGCAACAAGCTAGATCTGCTTAATTCCAAAAATCTATCTTCTTATAGGCTTGGTTACAGTTAGGTTTCTTAAGGGCTCCACCTAGTGTTCAATAGGCAGAAGTGCAAGCTCTGAAGTGAGGGGTTTGCTGCCTGGACCTGCATTCATTCACTCATGAAGACATGGCATGAAAATGAGGAGGGGTCTGCCAACAAAGGAGTCAGGGCCATGGGCTCCTTTTATAGCTTCACAGTACCCCCTACCACTATTCTTGTTTGGAGCTTTTTTGTAAGTCTGTAGGTTTTTAAAATACCTTTTAAAATTTGTGGACTTCTAAATTTCCAGATTAAAGCATTGATTGATTGATTGATTGATTGATTGATTGATTGATTGATTGATTGATTGATTGAGTTCAAAAAACAGCTTCTATTCTAGCATTTGATGTTTGATCACATGCTGCCTGAAACACCATCTGACCCTCCAAAAAATAGGGAGATTTTTATGTTCAATTCTTCATCTGAGAACTTTCAAGCCACAGGAATCAAAGCCCTTTTTTCTCATTTTCACTACTTAGTCTGAAAGAGATAAATGTGAAATATGAGCTATTTTTCCAGCATTGTTACCAGTGTCTCCAGAAGACAAACTTCTGATAATTAATACAAACACCCAGAAATGTAAGAGTTCAAAGAAAACAGTTTTTCAAATCATTAGTTATAGGAAACGTTCATTCAGATATAATAGCTGTGATAATTGTAGGAAATAATGACATTTTATCTCTGTGGGTCTCGAGGCTTCTTTTGAAATCCTTCAGTTTTCAACAATGATGTTAGTCACGCTTTGGCTATATTTGGTGTCACTAAATGGATCGTCCCTGAATTCAGCTTGTCCATCTAAGTTTACAAAGAAGAACACTGTGAGCAAGGATTATACCAGAGCTTTATAGAAGGTCCTCGATTGCTGTTCCTTTTTATGCTTTCTCATGCAGCGTCTGCTTCCCTTTGGTGAGGTCAACCCTCATGTCATTCATCAGGTTGTGAACTGCTCCCAGTACTTCTAACTTAACTAGTGGGCATCAGAGGTCCACATACTCTTTGTAAAGCTGGTGAATTTGAAGGACAGTGTGGTATACATCCATTTATTAACCTTAAATCACAGGAGGACACTATGTGAGACCCCTGTAAGGTGACAAGTGAGAGCTCAGGCCAGAACAAGGATGCCATAGCCTAGAACTTGGACATTCAAATATCACTTGATGCCCATCCCCTGATTTTAGTAAGAGTGTAAAAGTCTTCTTTGAGACCATTTAATGTCCATCCATTTTTACACATGTGCTTTGTTTCTGGCAGTAAGAGCTAATCTCTAAATGGGAAAGAGAGAGAGGTAGACAGGTTGTAGGGGTACCTGCAGGCTTTACAGCTGCAGGGAAATGATCTGGGTGATGGAAGAGTGAAACTCATTCAATTTAGGGGACCATTGCTGGGCCAAGACTTTGAGAGTCTGAACTAAGCTTGTTTATTTTTGCCATACTTAAGCATATTGCAGTTTTGAAAAAAAAATGGTTCCCAGGCAACAGTTAACTCAGTCCCATGAGTAAAACAAAGCTTAAATCATGTTTACATGGAAGCTCTTTACAGAGGAGTTCTTGCTGACTTAGAAACAATACTCAAGATAAGGTCTAGGGAGAACGTCTAAGGAAAGCTCAATGCCTGCAGGAGCCAGGATTTGGACTGGTCCTACAAAAACATAAAAGTCACTTAAGCTGTTGTAAAAGGTACAAATGACATCTCTCTCGCTGGGCGGTGGTGGCGCATGCCTTTAATCCCAGCACTCAGGAGGCAGAGGCAGGTGGATCTCTGTGAGTTCGAGGCTGGGCTGGACCGACAGCCTCGAAAACAATACAGAGAAACCCTGTCTCGTAAAAACCAAAAAAAAAAAAAAAAAAGATATCTCTCTCAAGGATGAGTTTTATGGCCTAGAAGCAAATCCTTTGAAGGATGCCTGCATGCTTAACTTTCCTGGCTTCTCCAGTGCTTACATGTGTGCACAAGGACTTTGCGCTCTCCAGATAGGCTGTGAGTACAGCCATGTGTAAGTTTCCCTGATCTTTCCTGGAGCTCCATGCACAAGGTCTACTGGCTACTTAGAGGTTAACTAATGCCCTCCCTCCCTTTCTTAGGTGTCCCTCAGCACCACCGAGGCTGCGTTGGCACTGAACAGGTACATATGTTCGGCTGTGCTCCCACTGCTTACCAGGTGCTCCCCTCTCTTTTCTGGGACAGAGCACTGCACCTCTCTGATTGATTCTACACTGCAGACAATATACAGGCTTTCCAAAGGACGCTCCCTCACCAAGGCACAGAGGGACACAATAGAAGAATGTTTACTTGCCATTTGCAAGTAAGTGTACCCCCCTTTGTTTTTGACTTGTGCATATGTATCCACGCCAAATGCATTTATGTGTGACACAGTTATATGATACGCAACCGTATAGTAGAATAATGCATTGTGAAACTGATTATAAAGTGTGAGGGAACTCCCAGACTTTCATTATATACCCAGTCTTCCCCTACCCCCTACCCCCGCCCTCTCTCTCTCTCTCTCTTTGTTTTTGTTTTATCAAGACAGAGTTTCTCTGTATTGTTTTGGAGGCTGCCCTGGAACTCACTCAGTAGACCAGGCTGGTCTCAAACTCATAGAGATTCGCCTGCCTCTGCCTCCCAAGTGCTGGGATTAAAGGCGTGCGCCACCAACGCCCGGCTGAGATTGGATATTTTTAAAAGACTGAAATTTCAACGCGTTTAAATCTGTAAAGACTTGAATTTTTAAAATTATTTATGACTCTAATGTGAGATCTTGGGGACAAATAAGAAAGGAAGGGTTGTGGCTTAATAGTGATGTGCTCGTGTGACAAGCTGACAAAGGGTCAATTTTGCCGGTTAGTTTTATGTAAACTTGACACAAGCTAGAGTTATCTAAAAGAAGGGAACTTAAACTGAGAAAATGTCTCCATAAGATCCAACTGTAAGGCATTTTCTTAATTAGTGATTGATGGGGGAGGGCCCAGCCCACCGTGGTCGTCCTTGCCTGGTGGTCCGGGGTTCTATAAGAAAGCAGGCTGAATGGGCCCCGGGAAGCAAACCAGTGAGAAACATCCCTCCATGGCCTCTGCATCAGCTGCTGTCTCCAGGTTCTTGTCCTATTAGAGTTCCTGTCCTGACTTTTTTTGATGATGAACAGCACTATGGAAGTGTGAGCCACATAATCCCTTTCCTCCCAACTTGCTTTTGGGCATGGTGTTTCTTCATAGCAACAGAACCCTAAGCAAGACACTGACTTACTATAAATAAATAATAAAATGCCTAGTTATGTTCAATCAGCCTGCTGTAGAACCTGGAGTCGCAGCTCAAGGGTGGCCCCACCCACAAGGAGCTGGGCCCTCCCACATCAATCGCTAATTAAGAAAATTCCTCACAGGCTTGCCCAGTCAATCTTCCGGAGGCATTTTCTCAGTTGAGGCCTCCTTCCCTAGATGATTTTAGATTGTGTCAAGTTGGTAATAAAACTAGCTGGGGCAGCCAGTCAACAGAGTCGAGGATTCATTGCCCCCTTCTTTATTCAAGTTAGTCTTGGGTGGCAGTTGCTAATTATCTGAACAGTAATAAGAAACACTGAGTCAATTTTAAGTCATGATTACTAGATTCATAGGAAGGACTGCTGCTTTGGGGACAGGTTTTGATTAGCCTTTCTCAGTCCAGGGCTTTTTGTCACAAGGCCAGTTCTTGGAAAGGCTGTGAAATAGATAGGTATTGTCCCTCTCTACCTGCATTCATCCTAACTGAGGGTGCTTTGGTGAAGCCTTTACCAACTGGTCCTGCCTCCGTAGCTCCTTAGGTTTCTATGAAAAGAATTTGGGGACTCATGAACTGAAATTTTATAGCAAACTCTCCTGTATGTGAGTGTGTGTGTGTGCATGTATGTACTGTGTGGTGTGTATGTATGTGTATGCATGTGTGTATTGTATGGTGTGTGTGTATGTGAGTGTGTGAGTGTGTATGCATGTGTGTATTGTGTGGTGTGTGTGTGAGTGTGTGTATGCATGTGTGTATTGTGTGGTGTGTGTATATGTGAGTGAGTGAGTGTGTATATGCATGTGTGTATTGTATGGTGTGTGTATGTGAGTGTGTGAGTGTGTATGAATGTGTGTATTGTGTGGTGTGTGTGTATGTGAGTGTGTGAGTGTGTGTATGAATGTGTGTATTGTGTGGTGTGTGTGTATGTGAGTGTGTGAGTGTGTGTATGCATGTGTGTGTTGTGTGGTGTGTGTGTGTATGCATATGTGTATTGTGTGGTGTGTGTATGTGAGTCTGTGTTTGTGTGAGTGTGTGTGTTTGTGTGAGTGAGTGTGTGTATGCATGTGTATATTGTGTGGTGTGTGTATGTGATTGTGTGTGTGTATACATGTGTGTATTGTGCGGTGTGTGTGAATGTATATGTATTCATGTGTGTATTGTGTGGTGTGTGTATGTGAGTGTGTGTATACATGTGTGTATTGTGTGGTGTGTGTGAGTGTGTATGTATTCATGTGTGTATTGTATGGTGTGTGTATGTGAGTGTGTGTGTTTGTGTGAGTGAGTGTGTGTGTATACAAGTGTGTATTATGTGGTGTGTGTGTATGTGTGTGTTCATGTTCTGGAGAGAATCCATAGGTCCCTCTGGACTTTAGTTTGGCATCTGAAGAATAAAAGGTAACTCTCCTATCTCTCCTTTCTCTATCTCAGAATTTACTGCACCAAATACCACAGTTGTGAACTCTGTAATTTGATGTATTTCTTTAATGAACTTTTAGTTGCTGTGTTTGCCATTTACAGAGTTGCCTTGAGAACAAAAGCCCAAAGAAATAGTTCCAATAGTATGACATTCCTTGGTTCAGATTGTAACCAGGGAGACTTTATTTAGGGTTGCCTTCAGACTATACCAGTAGGTGGCCTCAGATTCCACCTCTGTAGCTGATCAGTTTTATCTTCTCCCTTTGCAGTTACAGAGTGAGACCCTGTCTTAAAGAAAATTCTTAGCTCTTAGAAGTCCTTAGAGATGGCTGAGATGCCAGCTGTGCCTTCTTTCTGTTACATACTTTGCATGTGATCACTGGATGCATTTTCAACACATACAGATCCTAGAGCATGTTGATTCATGATAGCTGGAATTTAATCTTAACTATCCCAATTCATTAGCACATATCTCTTTTTTATATTTTAACCATATTCCACTTTTAAATGGAGGGCTTTACCATACACTGTCATTTATCAAGATCTGTGTTGAGACTCTGCTTTGATGCTTAACTCTAATTTATGACTCTTTTTAAATGCTATGTTTTATTATTGCATGTTAATGGTGTGTATGTATGTATGTATGTGCGTGTGCGTGCATGCATGCATGCGTGTGCCTGTGCCTGTGTCCTCATGTGTCCTCTGCTACAGGTCATATATAGAGATTCTAGAACAGCTTTCTTGAGTTGATTCTCTCCTTCCTCTCTGGGATGGGGAGGGGATCAAATTCAGGTTTGTTCACCAAGTGCCCTTCCCCAGTAAGGCCTCTAGGTGGCGCTAATGTACATGTTTGGTTCCCTTTTGTTTTCCCTTCCTCCTCTTTCCACCATTTGGTATTTACTTTGTCCCATCTTTCCGTTTTCTTTCCCTGAATCACAGTCACTTGAGACCTTCCATGTTACAGCAACTCCTACGACGTCTGGTTTTTGATGTGCCACAGCTCAGCGAGTACAGCAAAATGCCTCTTAAGGTAAACATCCCCATCACCACCGAAGTGCAGTCAACGGCACAAGAGATGTTTTGGGGGCTACACAGAGTGTACACAATTAGAGAAGCAAAGAGTGTGACAGACTCACAAGGTGCAGTGCGCAAAACCAATCAGTAGCTTGAATCTTCAACTTCAAAATCCCGGGCTGCTTGTTGTTACCTGCTGTGGTTCCCTTGAGTTACCTTCACTACTTGATTTTTAATCAGAGTTTGCTAAGGAGACTTGGATTTTATCCTTTCTTACCCTATCTAGGTTTTTAAAATATTTCTAGCTTCAAAAGGCTTTGAAATCCCTGTGGGTTTTCCTTTCTTCTTTGAAATTAATACTTACTATTTTCTGTGTGCCAGTGTTTTGCCTACATGTACGTACGGCTGGGCAACACCTGCATGCAGTACCGGCAGAGGCCAGAAGAGGGTGTCAGATTCCCTGGGACTGGAGATGGTTGTGAGCCTCTGCATATATTCCAGGAATTAAACCAGTGTCCTCTGGAAGAGCAGCCAGTGCTCTTAACCACTGAGCCATTGTTCCAGCCCTCCATGTGTTCTTTCAAAGGACCTAAAATGTCCCTTTCCATACTGTTTTGTGCGCCCCCCAACAGATGCTCTTTATTTCTTTTTTCTATTTGTTAATGATTTTTTTTTACTTTCTCATTGCTATGACTTCTCTATTATAGGCCCAGAGCACCTAGTCCTGGGTGGTGCCAGACTTACTGGCCACTCTAGAGGGCAGCATGTGAGCTTCCCTCTTAGGCTCTACCTTACTTGGAAATGCAAAAAGTGTCAGCAGACACCACACACTGACAATTTCCTCTTCTTCTTCTTCTTCTTCTTCTTCTTCTTCTTCTTCTTCTTCTTCTTCTTCTTCTTCTTCTTCTTCTTCTTCTTCTCCTTCTCCTTCCCCTTCTCCTTCTCCTTCTCCTTCTCCTTCTCCTTCTCCTTCTCCTTCTCCTTCTTCTTCTTCTTCTTCTTCTTCTTCTTCTTCTTCTTCTTCTTCTTCTTCTTCTTCTTTAAGAAATAGTTCAAGCGGGGTCCTAAGGGGATATTTTATTGGGGTAACCAGAATGCTCAGAAGCCTTTGGGTCAATCCTATAACCAGCAGGAAGCGTTACAGGATCACAGGTTCTCAGTCCTTCCCAGGCTAAGCTTTCCTTCTAACCTCATCAGTTTCAGGTCTTCACCTCAAAGGGTACTGTAGCTGAAGGCGTGGTCTTCACTCCTTAGCTTGGCTCTGGGCTTCTACAGACCACTGCTCCCAGCTGATGCTGGGTCCTAAGAGGCATTACCAGTGCCACTCAGTCAATTCACTTTTGCATTTCACATGAATGGCACCCCACCCCCCACTCCCCACCCCCACCCCCGCCCCTCACCCCCACCCCCACCCCCAGATGTGGCTCCTACCTCCTACCAACTGGGAAGGGATGTTACTAGTGTAATGTGCCCTCTCGTGGCCAGATATGGAATTGCTATCACATTGAGCTGTACAAAGGCCAGAGAGAACAGGAAGCCACAGACAACCATTCACATTAATCTTCAAACCCGCAATTTTCTGTTCACTGCCCCCTCCCCCACACAAGCACACCACAGGATATTCTAATCATATGTATTCATAGGAAATTATTCCCACACATGATTGACTGGTCGGCACACTGACTCCTTTCAAAAGGTAGCATTTTCTCATTGAAAACAGGACTGACTCCTCTCCATTTTTCAGTAACTACTTGGGGCACATCAGGAGGCAGGAGAGTTAATTAGGCAGATGCAACTCAGCCTCGAGCTCATTAGGTGTGAGAGCAGACTTTCCCAGAGCATCTGAAGGACCTCTTGGTTGACAGCTCTACTCCTTCAAACACTGGTTTCCTTCTCATGATTTCTCCTACTGTTTTCTTCTCCCTGCATGTCTCTGATGCTTGTCGATATCCTGGACTCCATGTGACTGGTGCCTCCTGTTCTGAAACCCCCAGCTTCTGACCAATCACTATGAGCAGTGCTGGAAGTATTACTGCCTGCCTTCAGGATGGGGGAGCTATGGGCTGGCCGTGGAGGAGGAGCTGCACCTCACTGAGAAGCTCTTCTGGGGAATTTTTGACTCCCTTTCCCACAAGGTAATGACTGCTTCCTGGAAAATAGGTGACCCCAGTGCCCAGGCACACAAGAACTCAGGAGCATTTTATGTTAATCCCCACCCCCAAAACAAAACACACCTTTCTGAATAGGAACTACCATAATTCTCAGAGTAGTCACTGAGCTGACACACACGGGAGAGCAACCACCAGAACAAATTGCAGCAGCGTTTTCTGCTTCCAGTTTTGAGTACTTACAGCCCTTGTTCTCAAGTTTGACAGCCTGGTCCCATTTCCTGTATACTCTACTTCCTGATGGTGAATGCAACCAGCTGCCTCATACTCATTCTCCACCATGCTGATCTGTTCCCCTCAAACTCCAAGACTGAATAAACTCTCCCTTCATTTCTTAAGTTACCTTTGTCTAGGATTTTTGTCACAGCAATGGGTAAACTATTAATGAAAATCTCTATCCACCACTGTAGAGTTTAGACAATCCACAAAGTTCCCTCTCCAGCCAGGTTGGGCCATTTTCCATAAGTATTCTTAGCAGGGAAGTTTATAGCCCTTCAGGCCTAGTGAAAACCATCGCATTCCAGATAGTCTTGAAATGTATGTGAAATGACATTGACTTAAACCTTTAATCTTCCTCAACTTAAAGTGAATGGTGACTTGAGGGGGCCTTACAGATTGTCATTCCACCCTCCAAGAGTACTTTAGTTTTCTGTAGAAAGTACTGAAGACGAAACAGGACAAATCCTCCTTTGTATCTGCACTTTCATTAGTGAGTGAATGGTCCTACATGACAGTGTCGTTCTGGTTTGTCTATTGGAATGCTCTCTGTTTTCCCTCACAGAAGTATGACCTGGATCTTTTCCGAATGGCCCTGCCTTGTCTCAGTGCTATTGCTGGGGCCTTGCCACCAGACTATTTAGATACAAGAATCACTGCCACATTGGAAAAACAGGTCTCCATAGATGCGGATGGGAACTTTGACCCCAAACCTATTAACACCATGAAGTAAGTTCAGAGCCACTTTTAAATTGTTTCTATATTTCATATCATAGCTAACATCTTTAAGCTATAGTAGAAACTTTCATTTTTCCCTTTCCCCTCCACCAACCTTGTTCATCATCTCCTTTGACACTACAAGTCACACCAGGAACAAGTTTAATCCAATCCATTAATAAATATGTATGTATGTACATATATATACATATATTTGGATTTTACATATTGTTTATATTTCAGGTTTTTTGAAGGGATTGATTTAATACATGAAATAAACTCACTCACAAAATAAATGTTGTCTAAGGCATTAAGAGGCCCACCCTGATAAATGATATGATTAAACTATTAATAAGTTTTTGACAAAAATCTTTGCCTTTTGTAAATTTGGCCTATACAGATATAGTAACATCAAAACAACTTCATAGTAACAGAAGAACTTCATCAAGTCCTCGGGGTGACAGCCGAATACTTGAGGTCATTCAAGAGGTTGGGTCTGCTCTTTGCCATACTAAATAATGCTAGATCTTTGGAGTCACCATATAGCAATGCCTAATAATTTCTTCCCATGAGTATCCAGAATCCTTCACCAATGCTCAACAGACCAACAGATGCTCTCAACCAACTACAGAATCCAGTGTGTTTAGCCTTGGGGCAAAATATTGCTGTGTTAAATTCCCAAGCAACCCTCCTCAGTTCTGAGTATGTGTACAGGGGCAACTGACTTCATCCTTTTGTACATTTGAGTGAAGAGTATAAAATTCCTCAGACTGAGTTGGGAAATAAGCACAATCCCATATGAACTTGGACTTATGTTTGCTGACAGTGGCTCTCAAATAGGAACCAAATCCTTCCTAGGAATGTCAGCTCTGCTAAGGTATAAAATTCATCACTGGGATGATTAAGGGCACATTCCATTGGATGAAGCCTTGAGTGAGGGGATGATGGGAAACAGATCCAGACTTCCTGCAAGGAAGACATAAAGGATGTGGTAAAAATGGCTTTAAGAGAAGTGTGCCTTGTAAAGACGCATGCATGTAAAAAAGATGATAAAGCAAATGGTGTGGTGCCTGGATATGTTATAGACATTATCAACATTACTCCAGCAACTGTGTGCCGGTGATGAGTGGCTATGTGATATTTTAACAGCCCTTGTTGCTTCAGACATACCTTTGACATCAGTGTAAGTTGAGATTCGTCCCATTTCTAAACATTAGGAGCCCTGATTACCAAGATGCAGGGTCATAACCAGAGCCTAATAAAAAGCTCACAAGTCAGGCCTCTCCAAGGACAGTGACAGTCTTCAGCTGTCTCCGTTGAATGAGTCACCTTGAGCTTCTTGCTGTCCTTGTCTCATCAAACTCTAGATTCAAGTTCCAGGGAGAATGAATTTGATCCACTCTGCCATATGTCTGACCTTGGTGACAGTGCGTCTAACATCACATGCAATACCAAAAGACCATATGATACACAGGAAAATGAAGACTGGATGAGAGCTGCTAGGCAAAGAGGAATTACAGGCATCTACTGTATTTCCAAAATTCTAGTTATAATGAGTCACTAATTCAAAATAATAGGCAACCAATATTTTGTAACATCTGACCCTCTACCTGCACAGTCTGCTGTTCTCAGACTGGAGCTATAGGATGACAAGATTCTCACTGACAGAGACCAGAGCTGACTTTGAAATCCACAATGATACTTCAGGAGAGCCCAAAACAGCTGGAGGGAGGCCACCCATGCGCAGATGTTTCTGCAGAGAAATCTTGTGATCAGACCTGGGTGGTGCCTGGAACAGAACACTGGTTTTGCCACCCCTGCTCAGTAGAATCACTGTGTCTAAAGTAGCTAAAGCTATGAGATTAGCTGTTAATAAATCTCACTAGTGACAGCCAATTGTTTCTTCTACCCACCTTTTACAATATCTAGCTAAAATGCTTATGGAGGCTGTCATTTTTTTTTCTCTCAATTCGCAGTTTTTCCTTGCCTGAAAAATTGGAATACATTGTCACCAAGTATGCTGAGCATTCTCATGATAAATGGGCCTGTGACAAGGTAGGGATTATCAGCTGATTGACAATTGTCAGGGAGGGGGAAAAATAGCCCAGGAACATTATTGGGTCGGATCCTGGAAATCTGCCTGATTTGTCTAAGTGACAGAGTCTCCATGCCAAGAGCACTTGCTGTTTCTGGGCAGCAATTTCCCAGGGTTGGTAGAGGTCAGAGAAATAGGCGTTGACAGCTGCTGGTGCTGCATTTGTAGTGTTCAGGAAAATGAACAATTCTGGAAGTGTCGATTGCTTTCTTAATCATTGCATTGCCTGAAGTTGATGCCCAAGCATGCATTTGTGTGTGTTTAACATAAATGCTTCGTCAGGGTGGGAATATGGTTAAATATTTTTTCTTTGAACACAACAGTGGACAAGAATAACTAAAATTGAAAGCCTCACTCTTGTTTTGCTTGGGAAACTGAACTGTATTCCAGGGAGGCCACATGAGGGTCTTCCTTTGGTGGGTGCCACTAGGACTTCTAGGCACTTGGTCCATCTGCTGTTTGAAATTCATCCCTATATGAGGTTAGGATGCTTAATGTGGTCAAATGCCAAAACCATGCAGGATTGGAGGAAGGCAGTGAAGGAAGGAGACCATGCTCAGCTTACAGCTTGTAGCAGAGGATGCATTTTAAAGGCAGGACCATAGACTGTCATCTGCATATAGTGCAGCCACAAATAAGGGAAGCCACATTCCCTGACCTCAGCTCTGTGTGGATCTCTGCTCAGCTCTTATCTTCTCAAGGGTTCCTACTTACACTGATGATAATAGCTGTTGAACTTCAGAATGAGCTCTACCTCATGATTCTAGACGAGGATTGGCAAGCATCTTCTGTGTAAAGGCCATGATAATAACCAAATCATCAACAATGAAATGGATAATGAACATTTGCAGCTCTGTAGGTCAGACAGTCTCTATGGCAATGACTCATTTCCACTGTCATAATGCAAAAGTAGCCACAAGCAAAACATTGACAACAAAAGGGGGCCTGTGTGGCAATAAAACTTTATATAAGAAAAAGAGGTGGCCAGCTGGATTTGCTTACTTTAGATTCTAGAGTCTAGAGCACATAGGTCTTCTCATTTCTTTTCAGTGTGGCCTCCAAATGATGTATTTTACCTCTTCAACTCTCTGAGTTTATGCAGCACTCTGTCTCCATGCCATGACTTCAGTCCCAGCTGCCATCATCTTTGGCCCAGTCCACTGTGATCTCCTGGCTGGCCGTCTCATGCGCATTTTCTCCAGTCTTTTCTTCACACCACAAGCAAGCAGTGGTTCCAGTGTGCATGTTTGGTCACGTGATGTTAATGTTCCTCCTGTCTAGCCCCCATTCCATCTTAAAATTCATTAATTCCCTAGTTCTTCTTAAAATAAAGGCCAAGTCCCCACATGGACTAACTGGTAGGCACAGCCCTGCCTGACTCTCGGTGAGAGCTCCCTTTCTCTCTGCCCATCAGTCTCTTCCTGTACTTGTAGACCCTCTGCCACACACTCTACATGTACACAAAACTCTTCCCTGACTGAGCAAGGTAGTCACTTGACATCCCCACCTCATCCTGTAGGTGACAATCTAAACATTCATTCCTAGTCTGATACTCTCCCAGAGTTCTTATATGCAGGTCATCTTAGTACCTTATTCTTCTCCTTCATAATATTTTAAAGTCATATATATATATGTGTGTGTGTGTGTGTGTAAATATATTAACATAATTTATAGCAGCTGCACATCTGTGCATTTGACACAGTCATCAGTTATATATCTACTAGTGCGTTATTTGGTTATTCTCTCCTGACACCAGTGTGAGGGTTCATGAGAGCAAAGATATATGCTTACTCACCATTGTCCAGAAGTACTGACTCCTCTGAATTCAAGCACCTCTTCCTGGGCTTGGAGAGATGGCTGGTTCAGAGCTATAAGAGCATACTACCCTTACAGAGGAACTAAGTTCAGTTCTAGTAGCCACGTCAGGCAATTCACAACTGCCTAGAACGTCAGCTTTGAGGGGATCCATCACCCTCTTCTGGCTTCTGAGGACACTGAACCACATACACAAACACATAATTAAGCATTTTAAAGTACCACTCTTCCTTTGAGAAAAACAGAATTATCCAGTCACAGTGGTACAGGTTGTACAGTTCTGTGATCGGCATGAGCAAAGGGTTAAAACATATAGGAGTATCAAATCCCATAGTTGGTGTCCAGAGACGCCATTTATGCCATTTACAGTTGGGTAGGCATTCATTGCGTTCACTACAGGGAAGTGATGAGTTTATTGCTGGGTCAGCACACGAAGACCAAGAGAGGCCAGAGATACTTTATTGGCTTTGGGGAACCACATAGCTACAACGTGGAGTAGGGCAAGGGAAGGAAGGTGGGGAATAAATGTGGAGAGGTTTACAGATTTAGAAGTCATGTGATAAGTTCCATTTTTCCCATGACGACAGGTGACAATCAGAAATCACAAGGCAATAGAGTTCTCTAGCCAGACAGTTTTGCTGAATATCACCTAACAATAGTAGAAAATGAATCCGTGAATAGGTGGCAAAATTGGAGGCAGGGAGAGCGCTTAGGAAGCTGCTACAGTCACCCAGGTGAGCTTACACTAAGAAGGAATCTGGAGAGAGTCAGCCAAAGGAGTGGGCCTACACAGATGTGAGGTGTGCAGAATAGAGTCAACAAGGACCCCCTGTTACAGAAGCTCAAGAGGTGGTGATCCCCAGGGATAAAGGAACCCAAGGAAAGGAGGTTTTGAAAGAAGTACCTGCCAGGTTCTCTTTAGACACATCAAGCAGAGTTCATACTGTTTGGAAATTAGAAGTCAGCTCTGCTTAGAAATGTTGATCTGACGTCAGTCACCAATGGTAACTGAAACCACAGACCTAGGTCAGAGCACCCAGGAAGTATGTGCCTCTTGGGAAGGAACTCTTGGGAAACGTGTACTTTTGACACATAGTTAGAGGTAGAGATTGAAAACAGAACAGGTAGATGGGAGTATTGGGGCTTTAACGCTGTGGCTCCTACTCAGCTCCACATCCACAGTTCTCAAACTCCTACTGAAGAAGGTACCCACTAACAGTGCTTTGCTGTCTTGAGCTTCCATGACCCTAAAAAGCATACACTGCTGTGATTTTGTCAAGCTGACCCTTCTTGGTGGCCGGTGGTAGATCTGGTCCCCTCTGAGTTCTGCCTACTGATCTCGCTGTGAGTTTGACACGCTGTTCTGAGGCACGGTGTTCTCAGCGTCTTTTGAAACAGCCTCCTAAGTGGCCCTGAAACATACAAGTGAAACAATGAGGAGGACAGCAGTGGGGACAAGAAGAATTGCAGGAGCGAAGGTCAGGATGCGGGAGGCACAGACTTGACAGCCTGAAAGTAGCAGTTAGACATTTGCTACGGGACTTTGTCATCTCTGTCACGATCCATTATGCTACTTGAGGAAACAGAAGCAGAGATGTGGGTCATCTGTCAGGCTCTTTGTTTGAATTGAGGACATTTCTACAGAGCCACAGTGGATGGAAATATGGGATTTCCCTGGATGAAAACGTGAAGACCCACCCACTGATACGGCCCTTCAAGACATTAACAGAGAAGGTAAGAAACGGGATTTGTAACCATGTGGCCTGCAGTGTCCTTCCTTGGGGATTGTATCAGATGATGCACCCCTGTCACAGTCCTTAGCAGCTTCCATGAACTCCCCAAGCTCCAACTTCACATTCTGGTCTTTGGCTCTGAGAAAGCTCGTGTGAAAGAAGCCCTAGTCAGCACTGGCAAATGGCCCAAAATGCACTGAGTTCCTCCTACAACTGAAGCAGAAAGGGGTTTTGTTAGACTGCTAAGCTGTTGAGACAGGTTGGAGAAATTGTGAGGAAAAACAGTTAAACAGAAGAGATTCTGGTTATGTGAAGGATAGTGAGAATGGAAAGTCCCTGTGGAAGGAGAAACAGGTCTCTTGTTCTTTCTTTCTTCATTTCTTTCCTTCCTTTTAAAATTAAGTAGTATGGTTCATCTCAACTCTGAATTCTGGTCTTACAGTCAATTGGTGTTCTTTGTAAGATTAAGTTTAGTGTCATATGTAAGGGATGACATATATATCTTTGACTGTTGACCACTCATGAAATTGAGCATACATCAAAAGAATTTTAATTTTGAGAAGTTCTGTTTCCCAAGATCAAGGAAGAGCTCAGTGCAAATGCATTTTTGACAGTGTTCCATCATAAACATAAGACACAATGAGTCTTTTTCCCTGCTCCTTCACTTTATAAACTATAAACAGTGTCATCAACAATAGTGGTTCATTTCCCCTAATAAAAAGTACTATAAGCTTGGGATCTTATATTCAAAAGCATCAGAAGGTCTGTGTGTTATACACAAGATGCTGCAAATGACATTTTGACCTTGTGAGGAAAGAACGGAGCAAACTATATTCTTTGTGTGCTGTGGGGAGATGGGTATGGTGTGTTCTACATGGCTCTTCTGGGCAAACTTCCTCTAGGAGAAGGAAATTTATCGCTGGCCTGCCAGAGAATCCCTGAAAACCATGCTTGCTGTGGGCTGGACTGTGGAAAGGACTAAAGAAGGAGAAGCTTTGGTTCAACAAAGAGAGAATGAGAAACTTCGATGTATGCCCCAGACCAATCAGGTATGACTGCCGCACTCAGTAGGCAACACTTGGCCAATAGAAACCATGTTGGATGTAGGAAGGCTCTCCCTGGGGCATGGTGATAGGCCCACCTAAGGTGGACACTGGGTTTGGGGCAGCCATGTTTTCAATGACCTAGCAACTTTGCCTCTGCTCTCCTAGGGCAACAGCTACAGCCCTGCCCCGCTGGATCTCTCAAATGTTGTGCTGTCCAGGGAGCTCCAGGTCAGTGCCAACCCCAGATGCAGAACATCAGTGTCTGCTGAGAGTGTTGACCTCTGGAAGAGTGAAAGGAGAAAAGCAGAGCGTGTGCCCAGAGCATATTACTGCTAAAATATTAAACCTGAAGAGGGTTGTGCTGTGCCAGGTCTGTGGGGAAATCACCAGAGAATTATCCAGTCATCTAAGAAGGGAGGCTGTGCTGCCTTGAGCGCCATAAAGGGTGGTGGTTAAAGGAAGAACAATCAGCAAAGTCCTCATGTTAAATTCCCAAAATAAGAGAAAATCGGTGAAATGCAGCTCCTGAGTGGAAATGCTCGCATGCCCCTTGTTAATCTCACAAGCCTGGAACAGAGGCCACAGGCACTAATATGTGCAGGAGAAGCGGAGTCGAGGGATACACCTCAAAACTTTTAGTTGCATCTATTTGGTTTCATAGCTCTGAGTCCTGCAGTGATCACTTTCCTGCACCATTGTAGGGAAACTGATCATATCTCCAGGCTAGGGAAGAAGCCAATGGGCCAGCCCCTTGGATCTTAAAGGAAGTTTTTTCCCCAAAGAATATCCTTTGCTTTAGGCCAGAGCTGTGTGAACCTTACAGAAAGATTCGTTCTATTTGCTAAATTTCAGTGGCAGCAATTGTTTTTGTTTTGTTTTTTAGTTTGTTGAGGTAAAGATTTTCATAGATTCTTGACTCTGACCTAACTCCTCCTACCTGGCTCCCTATCTTTGGTGAGAAGTTTCATAGTAAGATAAATGAGATGCTGGCAATGTGCAGCTTTGGCTGGAAATGTGTGTTTCTGCCAGAGGCACTCAACTGCCAGGATAATAAGCTGCAAAGGAAGGGCAGAATCCGCAATTGTATGGAATAGTGTAAAGCTAATGAAATGTGTCACACAGAATAATTAATACTGGTAGACCTCCAGCAGCAGGCAAGTAGCAATTGGTGATGCTGTTCCAGAACCTGGGAGCCATGAAATGGGTTTTCTCACTTGCTTCCTCTCTAACTTGTGTCTCTGGGGTGGGGAACAGGGAATGGTGGAGGTGGTGGCCGAGAACTACCATAACATCTGGGCCAAGAAGAAGAAGTTGGAGCTAGAGAGCAAAGGTGAGTTTATTTCACAGCATGCCGTGGTGAAAGTGGCCTGGGGGATGTGGTAGCTACGTTTCCCAGAAGTACCAAGGAAAACAGTTTGTGTGTGTCGCTCATCTTATTCCAGGTGGTGGCAGTCACCCTCTTTTGGTACCATATGACACCTTGACTGCCAAGGAAAAGTTCAGGGATCGAGAAAAGGCACAGGACCTGTTCAAATTCCTCCAGGTGAATGGCATTATAGTTTCCAGGTAAGTCATCATCTTCCATGTGATATTAGTGGGGCAGAGGAGAGATGTGATTTTGGCTTCACTGTTGGATATTTAATCACCCACCTCCAAAAATCATTAATGACAGTGCTTGGCACTTTTGGAAAGAGATATAATGAATCCTTGCATATGCACTCAACAAATAGTATTTTATAGGTCAAAGCCTTTTCTTTGTATATTGGTCCAGCCTTTAAGGAGAAATGAGAATTTGAAGCACAAGCAAAATAATGTTTGGCATGCCAGATGATTTTTCAGATCTCCTCCCTCTCTAAGATGTCTTACTAATCTTTAATTCAAAACTATATCAATTTTCAGCTGAAGGTCTTTGTAAAATAGCCAACAATTCTTGTACAATTTGATCTGCCTGCTTTATATTTTTTTAAACTACATGGTAACAACAGCGAGCACAACTAACAGAGGCAGTCTTCGAACCACAGGCACTGGTTCCCCTGAAGCTGTAGCTCCTCTGGGGAGACAGAACACATCACAATGTCCCACCACATTTTATCACAAAATGGTGAATGTTTTCCGTGAAGCTGACTTGCACTGCTCACTCTTTTTTTTATAGTTTATTTATTGTTTTAAATTTCATTTTACATTCCAACACACAGTTCTCCCCACCACCATCCTCCCCTCCCCCAAGCCCCCAGCCCATTCCCAGTCCACTCTTCCTCACAGATAAGGGCTCCCATGAGGGGTCTACAAAGTCTGACACGATAGGTTGGGGACTGCTGGCTCTTACAGGATTCGCTTCCTCACCAATCAGATGTCTATGGAGAGAGATGTAGCATCGTGCTTGCGGCTTCTTTGTAGGATGAAAAGCAGAGAAGTGATACACTCGCTCCCCCTCAAAGAGGTTTGCCAAGAAAGTTATTTCTTGTTTTAATTTCCTAGAGACTCTTTTGTTAGTTAACGCCAAATAAATAAAACTATACAAATATTTCTGTTGTAGCTCATAGGAAGAAAATTACAAAACTTATTTGCCATATTGTCGGGTAGGAAAGGTCATGCTGCAGGAGACAGCCTCTGGGGAAGCATTTGAGGAAAGACTCCCTGCCCTGCTTTAATCCGCTTTTTAACACTAAGGTGAATGTGGAGTGTGATTTGCTGATAAAATTCCTTGCTCACTGAAATGAAAAATTCCCCTTTGCTGTAACTAAAAAGGAAGTCACGGAAATATAATTAGGGATAAATCAAATTCAGTAGCCATATTCTGGGTACTTACTTGCCCTGTGTGGGGCCCTATGGGAGACAAAAGCAGGCGGGTATCAAGTGAGGCCCCAGCACCGGGAGAAAAAAACGTGCTCTTACTCCGCCCTTCCCCTCTGCTGGTGAAAGTCTATTTTCCGCATTCAAGCCCAAAACATTGGCTATTTCTCTTTAAGAAATCTTTTTTGAAAAATTCTAATTGTTCTACCTTTAAAACATGTGCATAATCTACCCTCTTTTCACCTCCTTCGCGCGGTCAGCATCACTAATGAGATGTTTTCCCACTGGGGCTCTCTGCCTTGTCACCCTTGTCACCACCCAATCCTGGTTTAAATGCAGCGGCCAGAATAGTTGACAGTCATGCTGCATCACCCCTCTTTGGAGGTGCCCACAGCAGTTCTCACCTCACTCAGAGGCAAGCCGTAAATGATTCAATGCACTTTACTGTGTCCACCCTCTCCTTGGACACCTGGCTTCCATTCCACCTACCCTGACCACTCTGCCGCACTCCTGCAACCCAGGATGCATGCCCCTGCCTCAGAACCCTTACCACTCTTGTCCCGTGAGCAAACCCTTGCCTCGACATCCTTATAACTCACCGCTTCACCTCCACAAGCCTTCACTTCCAGTTTCCCAGTGATCCCGACCCTGACTGCCAAATGTCATATCATAGTCCACAAACCTTTATGACACCATCCCCAAGCCCTTTCATCCTGCTTTCCTTTCTCTCTCTTTTTATCATAATGTGTTGCTTTGATCATTCCACATAAGTTATGTTTTGCTTTTGTCTATTTACAGCTAGCATGGGGTCAAACATATGAGGAATATTTGTTGTCTTCTCTGACTTATCTCTAGCTCAATATTTTTTAGTAATAATTATGAAGATCTTTCTGAAGACTCTAAGAAACCAATTTCACAAAAGTGTTGCGTGCTCACATAGATGGGTTCAAGTGCAAGAGTAAATCAGTTGAATGATGAGTCATTCCACTGAGCCAGAACAACTGTCAACACTGACAATTAAATTCAACAACATGGGGGAAGATAGGTAATACACCAAAGTCACGTATTTTTCTCTGCTACTTCTGGGCTTCATCTCTGCCCAATCTAGAGGGATGAAGGACATGGAGCTGGATGCTTCCTCCATGGAAAAGAGATTTGCCTACAAGTTTTTGAAGAAGATCCTGAAATATGTTGACTCTGCTCAAGAGTTTATTGCTCACTTGGGTAAGTAAATATAGGTGCGAAATGTCAGGAAAGAATGTGGTATTCCTTTAGAAAGAATGACCTAATGATGAATGATCTTGTGGATCTTGTGTCACCATTGCTCATGATTCATTGGGATATATGGTTTGGGTGGAAAACAATGGCTGAGATTTATTTCCTCCCTACTTAAAAAGTTAATTTAGAGACTGGGCGGTGGTGGCACACACCTTTAATCCCAGCACTCGGGAGACAGAAGCAAGTGGATCTTTGTGAATTCGAGGCCAGCCTGATCTACAGAGTTCCAGGACAGCTAGGGCTGTTACACAGAGAAACCCTGTCTCCAATAAACAAACAAAAAAGTTTAGTTCCTTGTTAATTTAGATCCTTGACTTCTCTGCTAAATTTGACAGGTTCTTTTGTTGTTTTTTAATGCAACTCATCCTATTAACTTGTGACTATGGACATCACTGAAGCCCCTTCAGAAAAGGGTGTGGTGAGCAGCCGTGAGAATTGACATGACACACACCCAACCAGCACAGTCACAAAGTGCTTTATAAGATATTATTCTGTGAAAGCAACTAAGCCTGCTGGTTTTCTTTTGAAAAGCTTCTTTATCTAAAACTACTGTGATTGATTTGCTCTGTGATTATTTGTGTTTGTTTGTTTGTGATTGTTTGTTTGCTCTAACCAGAATATGGTACCCCTGTCTTTATAGAAGCTATTGTCAGCAGTGGGAAAACAGAAAAGTCTCCCCATGACCAGGAGATCAAATTCTTTGCCAAAGTAAGTGTCTCTCCTTTTGCTCAGGCTCTCTATTACCGAGGGTGTAGCTTAAAGGGTCCATCAAGGATATTTAACACTCCAAAAGCTTCAGTGAGACAGAGATGTGTTCCTCTGCTATAGAACAGATCCCGTGGAGGTAAGACTTCCAAAAGGGTAGGCAAGCTGCTCAGCTCCACACCATATGTAATCTCCAGACTCAGGATCCTCCTCCCTTGTTGTACGCCATCTGTAACATTGTGCTTCATGTTACTGTAGTCCAAACCGGGTCACCCTCGTCATAGCTGTAGGAAAGGGATGTCTAAAAGAAAGGCAAGGAGAGAGCAAGCTGCTGCTTTTCTGAAGTTCTAACCTAGTAATGCAAGCAAGACCTTTCAGTTTACTCTAGCTACAAGGCAAACTAGGAAAGGCATTCTCCACTCAGTGGCCCTGTCTCACTAAAATCTGTCACTGAAAAGAAAGAGGGAGTGCCTTTGGGTACCAATGACTAATGTTGCCCATATAAGCCTGTTCAGCAGACCAAAAGCCTTTCAATGTCTGTGGAGCAGAGATAGATGCTTAAGGTGAGGGCTCAGTCAGGTCTTGAGTATACCTTTTGATGCCATGGCCAAGAAGGCAATCTGAGTTCCCCAGGTGTCCTCTTCAAATCAGATCATCATGCAAATTTATTTGTGCCTTTAGTCAGTGTCCTTTCCTGTCATATAACACTAACACCCCTGGTTAGTAGCACAGAAAAAATAATAATAATGCAAAATGAGACCCAGAACAGAACTTCCTGGAAATCCACAATCTGTGTTGAGAGGCGTTTGCTCATTGAGAATGACTTCTATAAAAGGAACTTGCAGACAGACTCAGATCAGCTACCTTCAAAATGATGTTTGGTGGTTTCCAGGTTCTCCTCCCACTGGTTGACCAGTACTTCACCAACCACCGTCTTTACTTCCTGTCATCTCCTCTGAAGCCACTTAGCAGCAGCGGGTATGCCTCCCACAAGGAGAAAGAAATGGTAGCCAGGTGAGTCCCTGGAATCAAGAGAGGGCCGCTATGTTAGTCACCTCTGAGTTACTGTAACAAATGTCTGATGGCAGTAAAGCTAAAAGGCTTATTTAGCTCATAGTTCTGAAGTTCCATGGCCCTGGTAAGTAGACACCTTTTCTTTGATCCCATAGTAGGGGCTCCAGATGGCTGTGACAGGAAGCTCACTGTGAGGCAAACTGCTCAGCTTGTGGCCAGAAGTAAAAGATGGCAGAATCCTAAAGGCGTGTCCCATTGACCTAAAAACCTCCCACTTGTCTCCATCCTGCAAGCAACCCTGCTTCCCTTCATCCCAGTAGCAATACCCTAGAGACAGAGCTTCTAACACATGGGTCCCAGGAGGACACGTGTTCAAACTGTCATTCTCAGCATTAATGTGGTTTATTTAAGACATCATTGACCTGGGGACTGAATCACAAGTTCCTTGTAGAAATGATGCATAACCTGATGATGAATTATTGGTTACCATCTTGATTTGAAAATGTTTATATTGTGTATATCTTGGTGATCTCGGGAGCCAATAGAATTGCACTGTTTGGGGTGTTCATAGGGACTTGGGAAATATGTAGATACACATACCAATTACCCTGAAACAAAGCTGAGAAGGCGGCCAAGATCCTTCTAAAGCTTGGGGAAAACAAACACTAAGGCATACACTGCTTTCTGTCACTCCTTACCAAGTTTGCAAGATTCAACTTTTTAAAACTCAGATCTTACAAGGCTGACTCATCTGAGATTTGAAAGCTAGAACCACATGATTCAGTCTAAATGTTTATTCAGAAGCTGAAGGGGTGGCTCACTGGGTGGTAAAGACACATGCTGCTGGGGCATGAGTACCTGGGTTTGGATCTCAGCATCTATGTAAGAAGCTGAGTGTCGCTGCATGTGCATCTGTAGCTCTGACGCTATAGGGGCCTAAGATAGGAGGATCACTGGAGCTTGCTGGCCACCAGCCTAGCTCCACATTTAGTGACAGACACTGTCTCTAAAGGACCAACGTAGAGAGTGATAGAATACCATACAGCCTGCTCTGATGGCCAGATGCACACACACACACACACACACACACACACACTCACACACTCACACACTCTCACACTCACAATCACACACTCACACACACACACAAAATCAAACATCAGCCTACCACTCCTCTAGGGAAACCTTTTTGAAGGTTTTTTCCTTTTTTTATATTTATTTTTATTTAAATTAGAAACAAACTTCTTTTACATGTCAATCCCAGTTCCCTCTCCCTCCCCTCCTCCCCTGCCCCCACCGACCCCCTATCCCATCCCCTCTAGGGATACCTTAACAGACCTTAACATTGGGGAAGCTTCATAATGAGGCTGAGAGGTGCTGTCTGACATACTTCAGGTTCTCTCTGATCAATAAAAGACCAAGTGCGGATTAGACTTCTAAATAACAGAGAAGTGAAGAGGGTAGTGAAAGTCTAAATGCTCTCCACTGACAGTGAACATGTATGTTGTACTGGATAAGAGCTCAGCCATTAATGTTCACTCTCTTTGGGAGTATATTCAGCTTGAAGATTTGCCTAACATTCATTAAACACACTGCATGTTCAGGCACTGATATTAATTTTCATATGCAAGAGTTATTGCCCATCTGAGTAAACATGGTTGTGAAACCTCACAATGTGTTATATTGAAAGTACAACTTGTGTCTTACAGTCTTCATTTTCAAAGCACTTAGCTTCATTTATTCCAGAACCCAAAGTATCTTAGGTGGTTAAGACTGAAAATTCAGTCCTCATGACAATTGTATGCCTCTTCTGTACTGTGATCACTTAGTGTCACTCAAGACAGAAGAAATCCCATGCTGCCAAAACAGGATGCTTTGGAACCAGGTACTGATCCTAAGATCTTATACCTTTAGGTTGAACTAATATGTTCTATAAGAAGCTAGAGAAATTCAGGGCCATGGGAGACATTCAGATAATCCAACAGAGGGCAGATGCAGCTGTTTTCTTCATCTGTTGATCTTAGACTATTAATTCATGGAAATGTAACATTTGTTCAACCAGGCACCATTTGTCGTGGCTGGAATACAACCTAGCACTGATCAGCCTTGCAAATCGCTCCCAAATCCACCCATGAGCTGGTGTCTCCCACAGAAGCTGTAGTGTTTGTGCTGCACGTGTTCTCCCTGCCAGCCTCTCTCCCTCTTTTTGCTTACTCTCTCCCCACTTCGGTTTTTGTTCATTTGTTTCACCCTGGCAGACTTGTTCTTTCTTTCCTTCTTTCTTTCCTTTGGTTTTTGTTTGTTTGGGGAGTGGGGGCTGAGAAGTCATTTCTTCATTTGTTTTGGGTCTCAATATGTAGCCCTGGCTAGCTGGAATTCACTATGTAAATCAGGCAGGCCCCAAACTTACAGAAATCTGCCTGCTTCTGGAAAAATGCTGGGATTAAAGGTCCAGCTCCTTTTTTTTTTTTAGACAGGACCTCCACAGCCCAGCCCCAGCCCTATCTGAAAGCTACCAATTCTCTTGTCTCAGCCTCTGATCCCCACTAGATTCTTCCTTACTGGATCCTTCATCTTTGGTTCACCTCATTTTAAATCTGATGCCTTTCACTTCGTAGAGTTTCCAGTCTTTCACTTATGGGGTAATTTTTCTCTTTATCTTTTTCTTTCTTTTTAAGATAAGGCTCTCTCTGTAGTCCTGGACATCCTGGCTACTAAAGGCTTGTGCCACCATGCCATCTTTGTCATTTTTAAACTCTGAGAGGGGAGAGCCTCACCTGGGAACTCATTATTTTGGACTAAAGGGAATTGTCTTAGTTGGGAGTTTTCCTGCTGTGATAAAACACAAAGGCCAAAAGCAACTGGTGGGGAAACAATGTATTCTGTTCTACATTCTCAGGTAACAGTCCATCATCCAGGGAAGTCAGTCAAGAACTCAAGGCAGGAACTGAAGCAGAGGCCATGGAGAAATGCTACTTTTGGCTTGCTCCTCATGGCTTGCTCAACCTCCTTTATTATACATTCAGGACCAACCGCCCACCCAGGAATGGCACCCACACATCATGCTTCCACGCCAATCATTAATCAAGAAAATGCCCTACAAACTTGCCTACAGGCGAATCTTACAGGGTCATTTTGTCAATTAAGATTCCCTCTTTCCAGACACGTTTCCATTTACGTCAAGTTGACAGAAACTAACCCTACACAGCAATTCTTGTATTTAATCAGGGACGCTTAAGAGACAGCGACAACTTTTTGAAATTCCAGGTGCTGACTTTTGCAAGCACTTCTGACAGTGAGGGAAGGAAGCCCTTCAGTATCCGATCTTAATAGCCCATCCACGTGCTTTAGGTAGAGAGACCATTTGTTTTCAATTTATACAAAATGTGTGTTCATCCATTTGAAGTGTTTTCAAATCTCCGAGTTGTTCTCCAACTTTTGTAGAAGAGCTATTTGGTTACAGGTAAGAAAGCTAACACAGGGCAGAGAGCATTGAAGGGTCTTCATGAAGATGCCTAGTTATTCATGGGCCAAGCACAGAATGAAGCCATCAGCAATACAGGCTGCACTGCTTAATACTCTTTCCCCCCCATCCAGCTCCATGAGTTCATATAATAAGCAGCAGCCCATATTAATTTCACATTAGCTGCTAAGTTTCTGTTAACTCACTATGAGTTCTCTTAAGCTCTAGACCAGGGAAGTTCTGACTTATTTTCACTAATCAACAGTGACATTGGCTGTAATTTTTTAAGATAGCCCAGAAAAATTTGAACATTAACTGAGAGGTTATCGTCCTTTAAATGGATGGGGGTTTCATCAACCAACACTAGGGGTGCATTTCTTCTGTTTGAATTGTCCCAAGGAGACAAAGATCTCCATGACAAGTTATTAATGTGAGCCCAAGACTTTAACTGAGTCTCATTGTAGAATTTCATGATCTACACTAGTGTTTTGTCTCTGTTTTCCCTATTAGCCCTCTTTCTGTTCCCCTGTATCCTAAAGGGAAAACAAAGTTCTTGTCAAACCATGCCAGTTTCAAATGTCAGCGTTTGGAAGATTCTCCTCCCAAGAGTATCACCCACACCTGTGGACTGTAGTCACACTATGCTGGGTGGGGTCAATTGGCAGTATGCTCAGAAACATCTACAGGGCACCTTCCTAACTACACAAGGCCTTCCCAACTACAGCTGAAGTATGTATAGTTGAACCTTCAAGTCTTCACGGTGTAAAGTATCAGTGAAGCATAGCAAAGAGTCAGAAATACAAAGAACAATAATAATAATAGTCAGTATTCAGGCATCTGTACTAGCCTGTCCTTGGGATTCTGACAGGATACACTCTCAGCTGCAGCCACTAAGAGCACCACCTGTGCATATTCACTGTTCCCTTTTAAAAGGGCCCTGCTCACCTTCTCCCTCCCTCCCTCCCTCTCTCTCTCCCTCCCTCTCCCTTCCTTTCCTCCCTCCCTCCCTCCCCCCTCTCTCTGTTCCTCTGTGTCTGTATCTGTGTGTCTGTATCTGTGTGTCTGTGTCTGTGTCTGTGTGTCTGTGTCTGTGTGTCTGTGTCTGTGTGTCTGTGTCTGTGTGTCTGTGTCTGTGTGTCTGTGTCTGTGTGTCTGTGTCTGTGTGTCTGTGTCTGTGTGTCTGTGTCTGTGTGTCTGTGTCTGTGTGTCTGTGTGTCTGTGTGTCTGTGTCTGTGTGTCTGTGTCTGTGTGTCTGTGTGTCTGTGTCTGTGTGTCTGTGTCTGTGTGTCTGTGTGTCTGTGTGTCTGTGTGTCTGTGTGTCTGTGTGTCTGTGTGTGTCTTTCCTCTCTCGTGCTGCTCCTGTCCATGGAGGTCAGTCTCCCCCCATCCCCTTTCCCCTTTTTATGATCCCTTTCCATAATTAAAGAAAAAACAAAACTCTCTGCTTGAGCCCTGTTACATGGTGTCTTTCTCTTGCTAGCTGCTTTTCTTAAATTACAACAATTGCTTCCTACTTTCCAAGGACCCAACTAGGGCAGACTATAGACTAACAAAAGATAACAGCAAAAAATGAACTTCTTTTTTTAATTTTTATTGTGTCTTTGTGGATTTCACATCATGAATCCTGATCCCGCTCATCTCTCCATTCCCTCTGTCCTTGCAACCTACCCCCACCAAAATAAAAAATAAAAAACAAAATTTAAAAGTAAAAACAAAAAAATAAAACATCTCAGCATGGAAACTGTAGTGTGGCCCAGTGAGTCACACAGTGTACCCTTTAGTCTTTACTTGTGTTCATAGCAATGAGTCATTGTCCTGGTTCAAGGCCTCTGGCTTCTACTACCCACTCAATACTGTGTCCTCACTGGGATTCTTCTTATATCCTATTATTGCCTTGTGCCATGAAGACCCTGTAGCTCTGAAAAATGCATTTCTTTAAACGTTTTTGTATTTAACAAACTCCTACTCCCTACCCTAACCATTAACATTTTTCTAGTCCCGACATTTTCTCACCTGCCAACTAAGCTTCACACTCCACTTGAAGGCTGCAAAATGGTTTGCAATTCATTACAATGATAGAAAAGCAAGCTGCCTTTTAGGATCCTCATCTTTTTTTTCTTCACGTTACATGAATGAACATTTCAACACAGGGTATCTATCACCAAGGAAAGTTTACCCAGGGCCACTGCCAAATATTCTTCTCATTTCAGACGGGTGGTTTTTGAGTAGGAATGAGTCACCTGAAAGTAACCTTTTCATAATTCTCCATCAACACAGTGTAGACCACATTATTTCCAAAGACTCTTCCAGAGGATACGGTACATCCTTCTAACGCTCCAATCGATGCACTTTCACATGTGAGGGGTGGGAGAATGGGGTAAAAAAAAAAAAAGATCCCTGCTTGAGTCTCCGTGGCTTTCTGAACTGCAACCCTTTCTGCTTTAGCCTGTTCTGCAAGCTGGCTGCTCTCGTGAGACACAGGATCTCCCTCTTTGGTAAGTGATGGGATGTGTTGCTAAAAGCAGAAAGCTTTCCTGTAATTACCTTGAGCTTCAGTTTTGCCTTCATTTGTGACTCCTGTAGAAAACCTGCACCTTGGGACTGAGGTGTCACCTAAATTTCCCATAGAAAATTGGTCTAAAGCATGATTAATGACCTCTCTCCCTCTTTAACAGCTCAGATTTTCCACACCAATGAATGTTTTAAGCTCTGCCTGTGACATCCATCAGGAAGCAGAGGCTGTGTCAGACTAGAGATAAATGCCTCGGTCCCTGAACACAGACCTGGCACTTTCTGTGTTGCTGGTTAATTATACTGGGGTATGCTTGATGCATATTAAGAAGGCTGCATTTAAAGCCAGGCTGGGTTTGGAGAGTCACAGGTGATTTTTTTTTATTCTAGGGAGTGATTCAACTACAATGGTGAGCTGTCTTCACATCTTAGCTCAGACCCTTGACACAAGGTAAGTCTGATGCTTTCTTCCCATTACTTCCTAATGACTCCCTTTCTGACCTCCAAATAGGTGAAGAGGGCCCTGGAAGTTGACACTCTGCTTCTCATTCCCACAGGACAGACCTACTATCATGGACGATCTTAAATCTGAAAGAACTGATCAGTTCTTGCCTTCTCTACTGAGTTCATTTGTCAGGAGACAAAATGTATAATATAGCAACCTTCACTTTGTACCTCCTTGTATACACACACATCACACACTCTTACACAGGTAGACATATCTGGTAGTGGTGAAACCCTCATCATCCTGAGAGATGGACATAGCCAGGAAAATGAGGGAATATCTACCTTCAAAAGGATCATACAGGAAGCCAGAAAAAGAGTCCAGCAGGAAAAAAAGCACTGATGCTCCAAGTTCACTCACTGTGACCCATGTGGTAGAAGGAGAAAGCTAACTCCAAGAAATCGTCCTCTGGCCTATACACACATACATATGCACAAATAATAAACACAATTTTCAAAACTGTGAAATAATATACACCTGTAATCTTACCATGTGGAAGACAGAGACAAAAGGATCCCAAACTCAAATCCAGCCTCAGATTTATAGTAAAACCTTGTTTAATAAAAATAAAAGATGTAGAACGGAGGAAAGGAGATTTTACTTAAAAATACATAATTCTGGTAATATTAACATACTGACATTTGAAAAGAGAAAAGTAGTACAAAGAACCAACAGGAGTTCTTTTGAACATGTTCACTAAGAAAAGTCCTTTTGCTGGGTGTGGTGGTGCATGCCTTGTCTCAAAACCCCCCAATAATGATGATGATGATAATAATAAATAATAATAATAATAATAATAATAATAATAATAATAATAAGGTCCTTACCAGAATCAGGAAGAGGACATGCCCTTCAAGATCCAAGGCAAAAGAAAGTCACCTTCTTAAGATGGCAATCTGTGACAAACTAAGGCCTCTTTCACTGTCCTTTGCCTCGGCGCCCTAATAAAACTGACTCTGTGAAGGACTGGCTTTCCCTCTTCTCTCCTCTCATCCAATCTAGGGCTGCTCTGCACACTAAAAGGAGTGCAGGCTTCAGGTGACTTCTCTCATCCCCGTTCTCCTCCTTCCTTCTACATGCCACTCAAAAAGGCTCTTGACCCCAAGTGAGCTGTGGAAAGGGCTCAGTCCTGTCCTCCCATCAGGTAGTAACAGAAGACTAGACAGCTGCAGCATTTGGCTCACAAGGAACTAACACCAGTTTCATTCATTCTCTCTGTGTCGTGAAGAGTTCGACAATGATCTCCACAAGCCACGCCCATCACTCAGTCACTAACCCCAGGGAAGCATGTGGTACAGGTTTCTTTCCCAGATGGAAGCAGACATCTCAGTGCACCTGACACACTCTCACCGGGTGACCAGAGTTCCCACTGTCTCCCCAGTTTGCCTACACAGAACCACTATGGCGGGGGTAGGGGGAGGTGGGTGGGAGGGTGGTCCAGAGTCCAGCTATGCTCCTGCCTTTGACTGCTGTTTCCTTGCAGGACCGTCATGAAGTCAGGCTCAGAGCTGGTGAAAGCTGGGTTGCGCTCTTTCTTTGAAAATGCAGCGGAAGACTTGGAAAAGACTTCAGAAAACCTGAAGCTGGGGAAGTTTACCCATTCCAGAACGCAGATCAAAGGTGTTTCTCAGAATATTAACTACACCACAGTGGCTCTGCTTCCCATCCTGACATCCATCTTTGAGCACATCGCTCAGCATCAGTTTGGGGTGGATCTACTCTGTGAGTCCTACTGCTGTTTGTCATCAATGTCTGTGCACTGACCACACGGATGTAAGACCCACTCACTTCGGGTGACCTAGAGGGCAGAGTAGGAAGACAGACTTCCCATTCTTTTCTTATATTAAAAAAAATGAAGTGAAAAGACTCTTGAAAAGGGAAAAAATCCCTTAATTTGAGTATAGAACATCAACTTTCTCCAATTTCCCACCTGGTCTTCTGGCTACCAGCTAGTGTGCTTCCGTTTAATTTGAAAAGGTTATCTGAGCAATACACCTCAGATGTACTTCTGATACCAGGGTTTCCAGACACTCTGCTCCATGTTAAGAATCCTTAATTTGCTCTCTGCTACTGGGAACAACGGAAAAAGGCTAAAATCTGTTTTTTTTTCAACTTTCAGTTGGTTTTACTTTGCTTTGGACTTAGCAGCAAGTCCAGCCCCAGCCCCCAGCTCCACCATGTTCATATTCTGTCACCAAGCTTCAGTACTGCTTGAGCACTACCATCGGATTTAATTTAGTCAGTTGTCAATGGGTCAGGCTGTGTCTTCCATCCGTTAGTGCCAGTAGGCAGGAGCTTTATGTCATGGAAACAAGGCATTTCCTTTGTTAGAAAATAAAACATTAAATTAGTTCTGGCTTTGTTAAAGTAGACCTAGCCGTGGAATAAGGTCTAGATGTGTGTGGGAACATGATGCCTGATGATGAAATTCTTTGTGTTCCTCCAGAACCCCCTTCCCTTAAAAAATAAGGGATACAGCTTAGTTTTTTTAATACAGTAGAATGTATAGATGAGCAAATGTGAGAACTCACTTCTCTCTCTCCAGTCCCCTTTCTTCCCCCCCCTTCCTCCCTCCCTCCCTTTCTGAATAAAGCATGCCAATTGTATGAATCTTCTCAGGAAATGATCAAATATGGCATGGAAGCTTCAAGCTTTATTAATTCTTTGTTCCAAAGAAGGCAATATTACCCTTGGTAAAATGTGAATATAGTGTCTTCCTTTATTGGGTAAGCAACCTATTATAGAGACTCCATTGGCCAAATGATTCCTTTCTCCAAGAAGCTTTGTGATCTTCAGCAGCAGCTCTGCCAATGACCTGGGCAACTTTGATGGAGCATTTTCCTATCAGCATTTCCCAGCAACTAGCAAAATGGTGTCTGCTTTGAAGAGGATTTCACCAGTTTACAGAGGCAGGGAGGAGGGAAAAGGAGAGAGGGTCATCTGGTCTTGACTGATTCCTGCCTTAGTATTTTTCTTCATGGACCCTTCGATGTGTTGGAGATGGAGCTGGGGTTGATATGTGGTTATGACATCTCCTCTTTGTTCCAGTGAGTGACGTGCAGATTTCATGCTACCACATTCTGTGCAGCCTCTATTCCCTTGGGACTGGGAAAAACATCTATGTTGAAAGGTAATTCGTTTTTGCTTGCTTGTTTTTTTCAGTTAAAACATTTTTGGCTCAGAAAAAATGTTGTAGGGGAGGGAGGGCACAGCATCTTCTGACTATACATGAGCTGAACAAGGACAACACTGGACATGCTGATATGAACTTAGGGTAGCCCAGGAATATTCAACCCTACTGCCAATGACAGGAGTAATCGTCTTCCCTGGGAAGAGCACACCTATGGGTTATCCAATACCAAATGGTCAGCCCTGAAATATATATATATATATATATATAGTAACATTATGCAGACTGAGAACTGAGAGGTTGTATTTATGTTTGAGAATACGCACACACACATGTGTGTAACAGCAATTAATAAAAAAGACTTCATGAATTTGAAAGAGGGCATATGGAAGGAGGAATATATGGAAGGGTTTAGGGGAAGAGAAATGATGAATGAACATTTACATTTTTTAAAGATTAATAAAATATTATGTTAAAATTCATTTTCCCTATACCTTATATTAAAATTTTTAAAAATCCATTGAGCATCTTTTTTTCAGTCCAGCAAAACCTAAATATTCACTGCTCAGAAATAATGACTTTACAGTTGAGTTCTGAAAATTTGTAGTAATGTAAAGAAATAATGAGGCTAATTAGTCCAAAGTCTTCTGTGGAGAAAGCTACCGAATATATATGGCTACAAGAGCTATAAAACCTGCACAATCATGTGCTGGTAGCCCCAAAATGTTGAAGGTGTGTCTACTTCATTATCGTGGCCTCTGCATAGCTTCCAGAGTTCCTGTGATTACAGCTTGCTGAGACTCTTGGGGACCTAAGGCAGTTGCTTGAGTGCCTAAAGAGTCTCTGTGATACACCCTTGGATATTTGCCATTCTCAATGGTCAGGTTAGCTACAGCTTTAGGTAATGCACAGCTCAGCACCCAAAAAAAAAGCTGTTTGATAATCTTGAATCTGAATAAGATTGTTTGTAGAAGTTTTAGGTTCTAATTTTGCTTCTATAGTCTGCCTGTGGCAGTGGAAACTTTAGCAACCCCTATCTTTTCAGAGTCAGATGCCATGTATTGCAGTGTTCTCTTTAAATCCAGGGGAAAAATCAGAAAAAGATAACAAGATCCTGACCTAGCTTTATCCTTCGAGGACTTATTCCTTTCCTCCTTTCAGATAAGCAAGCCTGAAAGAATTTGATCTGTTTTAAGTAACTTAATCTGAACACCCCTTGGGATCTATTTACCATGAACCTATAAATGAAGCTTGTATCAATACCCTAAAATTTAACCCTTGTTTCATAATGAAACACTCATGTGTTAAAATGGAGTTAGTTAAGCAAAATGACAATTTATCCCCTATAAGAACTTAAGAACTAGCCGGGAAGTGATGGTACAAGCCTTTAATCCCAGCACTCAGAGGCAGAGGCTCTGAGTTCGAGACCAGCTTGGTCTATGCAGAGAAACTCTGACTCAAGAAAAAAAACTTAAAAACTGAACTAGTGAATTGAAATCTGACTAAGACATGGATTGAAAACACGTCTATTTTATCACAACCATGGCTTCCAGGGTTCAAGAAACTAGTTAAAGAACTGATGATTAAATTTGCTTTATAACTGTATCTTTATATTTGTCTGACTTTCCGTAAAATATGAAGGAAGTTTTTTCGTGTGTGTGTGTGTGTGTGTGTGTGTGTGTGTGTGTGTGTGTGTGTGTGTGTTTGTGTTTCAACAGGATTCCTCTGTGTACTCCTCCTGGCTGCCCTAGTACTCGCCCTGTAGTCCAGGTATAACTCAAGTGATTCAACTGTCTCTGCCTCCTGAGTGCTGTACTGTAATTAAACGTTTGCCACTACCTCCAAGCTTATTGGATCCCTGGAACTGAAATTACAGGTGCTTGTGAGCCACCATGTGGTGGTTGGAAACAAACCCAAGTCCTATAGAAGGACAGCCAGTACTCTTGACCACTGAACTGTCCCTTCAGCCCTGAGACAAAAAAAATTTAAACATATATTTTTAACCAATAGAATTGATAAAAATTATTTTCCCAATTAACACAGAATTTCACTTAGGGGATATATCTCAATGTGTGTGTGTGTGAGAGAGAGAGAGAGAGAGAGAGAGAGAGAGAGAGAGAGAGAGAGAGAGAGAGAGAGAGAGAGAGTGCACATGCACAGCAAGGAATCTTAGATACATTTTTTATAGTTTCTACAGTCTTATTTTGGAAAACAGTAAACAAAAGGTCAATGCTGGAATGCCAGGCCAGAAAGACTTGTTCCTGCATAGCTTTTTGTACTTACTCACTTTCACTGCAGAGTTATTGCTCAGCTACAAACTGGGGATGTTGGCGTTTGCATTTTTTATTCTACATCTGCCTAGGACTAGCTAGCCAGGATTAAATTAAAGAGATTCCACAACTGAAAAACTAGAAACTTAGAATCCTAGAAGTATGCTGCTGTCACAGGTAATCTGTCTTAGTTTTGTCTGTCTTAGTTTTAATTGTGAAAGGCATGTTAATTCACAAAACAAAACCCAACAGTACAGAAGTATGTCAAGTTAAAGAGCCATTTTCCTAAGCTTGTGCAACATCCCGTCCAGGTCCCTCTCCCAAAGAAATCACTAGTCTCAGTTGGGTATGCACCAGTTTGAGTAATTTCTCTGTATATATATTTTCAGACATGTAAGATCATAATATACATAGAGCTTTGCAGCTTTGTCATATTGGATAAAGATTAAGTCCTTGATTTATTTATCCTATAATTCATATTTCTAAAATGTAGCCATTTAGTATACTGTATCTTTTAAGTTTATACTTTAAAAGATGAGAAAATTATCTACACTGAAATTCCTACCTACTTCCTGTACCATTTTCTATTTTGCTATAAAATTCATTGTAGTATTTATGCTTTTTAACGCTAATATTCCCTGACCTGCTCACGTTAATTTGTACCTGAGTCATTTAGCTCATCATCTACACTTTGAACCAATAATTCCTTATTCTTAATTTTCTTGAATTAGATTTATCTTTTGACAGTCTAGAGTTGTCTCATTGTGGGGTAGTCCCTTCCTTAAGATCCCTAAGGCATTCTGGGATCTCTATAGATACTTTATAACATCCATTCTGGGGCATACAGCCTTTGCCATCATTATTTTCTCTCAAATGCATGTAGAAGACGAGTCCACTCACATATGACTTTACGGAGGAGAGAAGGGAATTGGTTGTTCATAGGTTTTGTTAGAATTAAAACTCATTCACTTCCCCACACTGCATCCCAGGACTGACTATTCTATTTAACCCTCTCTACTCTGCTTTTCGTTTCAAGTGTTGACTTTATTTGGGAAAATTTTCCATTTTTTGTGGTTTGTGCTAGCTTTCTGTTATATAATAAAATGCTAGAGACAAAAAACTTAACTTTGCCTCAAAGTTATGTTGATTTTAGTCCATACTTGATTGGTCCTATTATTTTTGGCCACTGGTAAGACAGCATTAAGCATGGCAAGAGTCACAATCCCCCTCAAGGGTACAGCCTCAATGACTTAAATCCTCCCTTTGGACCTACCTGTTATGGTGGTGGTGACGATGGTGGTGGTATTATTCTCACACAATGCATCCTGACCACAGTTTCCCCTCCTTCATCTCCTCCCAGTACTCCCCCACATCTTCTTTTCCCTAGATCCATTCCTTCTTTGTTTCCTTTCAGAAAAGAGCAGGCCTCCTGGGGATCTCAACTAAGCACCATATAACAAGTTACAATAAGACTAGGCACATACCCTCATATTAAGACTGGATAAAGCAACCCAGTAGGAGGAAGAGGGTCCCGAGAGCAGGCAGCGGTTTCATAGATAACCCCCACTCCTACTGTTAAGAGTTCCACAAGTACCAAGCTATACAACCATAATATGTATTCAGAGGACATAGCTCAGACTATACAGGCTTCATGATTGTTGCTTCAGTCTCTATGAGCCCTGCTTAGTTGATTCTGTGAGCTGTGTTCTCCCGGTGTCCTTGACCCCTCCTACAAACTTTCCTCCCACTCTTCTGTGGGGTTCCCTGAACTCTACCTCGTGTTTGGCTGTGGGTCTCTGCATCTGCTCTCATCAGTTGCTGGATGAAACCTCTCTGATGATGACTGTAGCCCTGTCTCTTAAAAATTCTACTGCCTTCCTGGAACTGTGGTCTGAGCCTCTAATTCAAGAACCTTTCGAGAACATTCCAAATCTAAATTGCAGCACAGTCATTGATGTGAGTTTTCCCATCTTTTGTTCAGGGAGAGTAATTATATGTAAGTTTGGCTTGTTCCTTTCACACCTGATTTCTTTCTTTAATCATTTATTGTTTTCTGTTTTGCATTTGTGTGATTTTTTTTCTAAAACTTCCTCTGTGTTTTCTTTTCAATTTTCTTTGTTTCCTGTGAGTGTATAGAGAATATATATTCTGTTTTTTTTTTCTGGATAAATTTCTGGCTTTTTATTTTCTTTTTCTGGCTGCAAGAAATAGTGCAGACTCTCAAGAAGAGGGGTATGCGAGAGCGTGTGTGTGTGTGTGTGTGTGTGTGTGTGTGTGTGCGTGTGTGTGTGTGTGTGTGTGTGTGTGTGTGTGTTAACATAGAGGAGAGTGAAGTGGGAGAAAACAGCAGGCAGCTTCAAAGCTGAGAAGCTGGTACAGGGCTGACACCCTTCCTGGGGCTCTGAGGTCTACCCCCATCCAGTAAATGGCTAAGCCAGGTGAGAAGTGGGTGAAATTCTGCACACCAAAGTCAGGGTTTTTTTCTGAGAGGTTTAATGATGCTCATCCTCTGGAGAACCTGGGCCTGCAGCTATAGGGCAAGTTCCTTCCCATCCATCCGTGTCACTGCACTTCCTGCAGTTCTCCAGGCTGGGAATGTGGATGACAGGAATAGTAAGCACATACCATTCTCAGCCCCGTCTCTTACTCTGCAAGATGGAAGCTCCCCATGTGCATATTGTCCACCAGGTCTTCCATGGCCTTCACATACCCTGAATGCTCACTATCTCA